GGATTGCCCCACTTTTCAATCAGATTGTTTGTTGATTGGATTTGATGGGTTTCGAATTTGTTGTTTCGTTTGGTTGCTCTGTTGGGAATTTGTGAGAGATCGGGTCTGCAGAATTTGATCGCATCAAAGCCCTAGTTCTAGGATTTGGGCAATTGCGTTAGTGACTCCCGTCATCTGAGAGTCATTGGCGATTGAGTTGGATTGAATTCCGGAGGGCGATGCCAATTTTTCATATTGTAGTCATGCTTGGCGATGGACTTATTCATGCTTCTCTGGTTGGCGATCTGCAGTCGAACAGGAGCAGAAATTCTGCTCCTTTTCCTCCTCCCTTTTGGGTTGCTTCCATGTCTCTTGTCTTGACGTTTCCGAGGACATGAGGAACTATTTTGGACGTAAAGATAGATGGGTTGTGATTGATTTCTACTCATTGGAGATGTTCATATTATGTAGAGATCCTCTGCCTACCATCTTCCCGGTCTCACAATTGTGGACTACTTCTTGTTTGTAAGCTTGGTTAGTGATGGAAACACTGTACAGGTCGCACCTAGGGTGCAGAAGTAACAAATCGTTTCAACATGATAACAAGTCCTTCAGTTGTAAGATGATGTTGCTGAATGCTCTGATTGTTCAAGGCTTAGCTAGAATAAAATCGTAACTCTTGCCTAGTCTACCATGGTGTGAAACTTATGCTATTTTCTTCCCTTGTTTCTTTAGAATGATCAAGATTTTGAGGCTGGGTTGTCTATCTAAAACCTTTAGTTTTGCTAATGGGTCGGTATTGGTCCTGTCCAAACTTGCACTCTACCAGTGTGCTATATGCTTGCTGTACCCTTGGAGATTGAATGCTTCACGAGGGATTTCATGAATTTGATGTATCCCAAGAGAGCATACATGAAGTTAAAACACCTAATGGCACTAGATGCTTTCGGGAAGTATGGATTGTTGTTGAATCCAGTAGTGTTTTTGGCAGAATGAGATGCTACTTTGTTGTCTTGTCAAGAACTAGAGATGCTTTCTGCGTAGTGTTGGCTTGTCTTCTTTTTTTGTACCAAAGAGTAATTGTCTGTTCAATGCTCTGTGGACAATGAACCTCTCCAGTTATACAAATTCTTGTTTGGTGAAGCTGACTATCTAGATTGCTTTTTTAGTTTAGAGAATTTAGCGATACTAATGAGTCTCTTACTGAGTGCCCGATAAAGCTTCTGTGGTAGCTAAATCTACTGAATTTAGCATGAGGAGGCCAAGCAGGTCTTTGCTGTTTCGATAACCACCCTGCTCTTATCAGTTACTATTGACATTTTCTTTGACAGCTGATATTTAGTATAGCTAAAAGTTCAGAGGCAATACTTGCTGGGATAATATGGTTGAGTTCACTTCAGAGAAAGGTTCATTTGGCACTAGGCCAATGGTCCAATTGACGAAGTTAGTTGCCTGGTTGACTATATGTAGTAGTGCACACATTCGGGCACTCCACCCCTTTATTATATTCTCCCATCTTGTTTATCCCGTGTACGTTGAAATAGCAAAGAGGTGGGAATCCCTACCTGATATATTTGCCTTATTCGCCTCTCAAATTTCCTCCTTTGATTGTCTTTTGATGAGAAGATGCCTTATTTTAGAAAATTTGATAGAACAGATCAAGCATTTTGTGTCCCATCGCTGTGTCAGAACTCAGATGTTGCTAGTACACATTGAAGCATTTCTTTCTAGAGTCATGTTTTAGGGGAACTCCTTTGCTATTTGATTGATTTTATCTACACTCCTTGGTCAAACATATGTGACATTCTCCAGGAACTAAGTACTTGTGAAATCTATGATGCCATAACACAACCATTGCGTGCTTAAAATAGTCTGGCAAATGTTTTCAAGTACTTGTGAAATCTTTTGATTGTATATTTGTATTTATTAACACTACATAATTCAAGCTTCCATTTCATGATAAGAAATTAGCCGAATCATTCAGCTGCGTTTTCTCCCAAGGATGACACTTATAACAAAATCTGTGTTCTTGTTGCAGGACTCTGGCCAACGTGGGTGCAGCAAACAGGGATCTCCATCGTTAACCGAAGGTGGTGTTGCGGATGAAGAGCAGGCTCTTCCTCTTCCTATTATACCCCGGGTTTAGATTCTAGGAATCCAGTTCTTTGCTATCTCTCACATAGACTATACAATTCCAGAACAAGATAATGTTTCAAGATCTTCCCGATGAAACTCATTGTACTTTTTCTTTTCCCGCCTGCTCTGGGAGACATTTTTCTTGTTTCTGGATAGAAAAGATGTATACTTTATAGACTTGGTCATTCAATTCTGGAACTGGATCGATATAGCATTGTCAATGGGAATAAAATAAACTATGCTCGTCATCATAATTCTATATACAGCTTCTTCTGGATCAAAAGTTGCAATCTTTATTTCTGAATTCCCCGCTCGCTAGGCGGGACAGTTCAATTTCCGTTGTAAGGCTCCGCAGTAGTAACAGCTCCGAGAAGGTCTAGTTTCAAACATGGCGGCCCCTAATAAATGGCTCTCTTATCTCTTGGGCCTGGAAGATAGCGATTAGGGTAGTCAAAATACTAATGTTGCCGTCTCATGATCCTCTCATCTCGCAAACCCACTTTTCTACGTCGCCTCACGAGTTCTTGTTCGCCTGCGCTACAATGTTTCTCCACCGGAGCTACCTTCATCCGCAGCCCAATTCACCGTCTCCGATATGGAGCTGGTTCCGGAGAAAACCAGCAAGCCTCCGACTACGAGCTTGCTTTGGTCTCTGCTCTGAAGTCATGTTGCCTCAACTTGGATGTTTCTCGAGGCAGGGGAATCCACGGCCTGGTTATGAAATCCGGCCTGGAGTCCAACAACTTCGTGGAGAACAGCTTGATCAACATGTACGCCAAGTGTGGGCACTTGGGCGATGCACAATCAATGTTTAATTCATGTTCGAAACTGGATCCCGTGTCGTATAACATTATGATCGCTGGGTATGTGAAATCCAGAGAATTGAATGAAGCCCGCAAGCTGTTTGATATAATGCCTAAGAGAGGCTGCGTTTCATATACTACCATGATCATGGGGTTTGCCCAAAGCGACTTCTGTTGGGAGGCATTTGAGATTTACAAACAGATGAGAAGCGAGGGTGTGGTCCCGAATGAAGTGACGATGGCGAGCTTGATATCCGCTTGTTCGGGCTTGGGCGGGATCAAAGACTGCAGAATGCTTCACGGACTGGTCATCAAGATGATCTTCGATCAGATGGTCCTCGTGTCCACTAATTTGCTACGCATGTATTGCTTGTGTTCCAGTTTAACCGATGCCCGAGCATTGTTTGATGAAATGCCGGTAAGAAACATCTTCTCATGGAACGTAATGCTGAATGGATATGCTAAAGCTGGAGTTATTCATCTGGCTCGAGACTTGTTCGATAATGTCCCAGAGAAGGATGTTGTATCTTGGGGCACAATAATTGACGGCTATATACGAGTAGAGATGCTGAGTGAAGCTCTTTTGATGTACCGATCCATGGTATCCTCAGGTTTAGAAGCTAGTGATGTTATGATGGTCGACCTGGTTTCTGCTTGCAGAAAAGCACAAGCAATCGGCGAGGGTCGGCAGCTACATACCATCCTCGTGAAGAAAGGTTTCGACTGCTATGATTTTATCCAGGCAACAATAACCCATCTCTATGCAGCTTGTGGCAGAATCAAGGAGGCTTGTTTTCAGTTTGATCAGGGAATCAAGAAAAATGTCACCTTATGGAATGCTCTCATGTCGGGTTTTGTGAGAGTCCAGATGATTGACCGAGCAGCTAAGTTGTTCGATGAAATGCCGGAAAGAGATGTTTTCACTTGGAGCACGATGATCTCCGGTTACACACAGAGTGAACAGCCTGCCATGGCATTGGAGTTATTTCATAACATGGTTGCAACTGGTATCCAGGCTAATGAGGTGACCATGGTGAGTGTGTTCTCAGCAATTGCTTCTTTAGGCACCCTAAACGAAGGCATTTGGGCTCATCAGTACGTAGTAGATAGCTATATCCCTCTTAACGACAATCTGAGTGCTGCAATCATCGACATGTATGCGAAATGTGGGAGCATACGCAATGCGTTGGAAGTGTTCCATCAAATCCGTGACAAAGCAGCCACCGTCTCACCATGGAACGCCATTGTATGTGCTCTTGCCATGCATGGACATGCGAACCTCTCTCTCGAGATATTCTCCGACCTGCAAACACGAGGTATCCAGCTCAACGCAATTACATTCATCGGGGTTCTCAGCGCCTCCTGCCATACTGGGATGGTGGAGCTAGGGAAGAGATACTTCGAGAGTATGAAATCAGCCCATAATGTGAACCCCGATATCAAGCATTATGGCTGTATGGTCGATCTCTTGGGGAGATCTGGGCAGCTTGAAGAAGCAGAGAAACTGATCAAGAGCATGCCAATGGAAGCCGATGTGGTGATATGGGGCACGCTGTTGGCTGCTTGTAGGACTCATGGCAATGTGGATGTGGGAGAATGGGCTGCCGAGAATCTGGCGAGGCTTGAACCATCTCATGGAGCTAGTAGAGTTCTTCTGTCCAATCTGTATGCTGATGCGGGGAAGTGGGAGGACGCTTTTTCGGTTAGGAAAGCTATGCAAAGCAGTAGAATGCAGAGGTTGCCTGGCTATAGTGGTGTGGAGTGATTGCATTGCTTCTTGTAATTTATATCCACAGTTTTTAAGTAACTGTAGACGATTATGAAACAGGTTTCCGCACAGAGCTGTAGTCATAAGTCATGTACGAATCCGCTTGAAAGGAGAGATGCTGTGTTGTAAGAGTTGTAAGATTTTATCAGTTCAATAAACACCTTTGATTTAAGTTGCAGATTGGTTGGATGTATTAGGGAAATCAAATTTTGCATAATTGAACAGTTACATATTCTTTTCAGACATACTTTTAATATCAGCATTTGAAATTGTTCACGTAATGTTAAACAAATTAAAATGATGAAATCTCCAAATATAACGAGGTAAAAATAATTATTTCTCACGACAATTTCCTTTAGCTATATTAATTATCAAAGACATCCCACTTAATATAGTTGCAATACAAATGCACCAGAACAGATACTAAACCAAACACCAAACATATTGTTGCTTGGACTTGTATTTGAATAGTTCTCATACCTAGACTGTACAAAGAAGAGCCCCCTGTTATTACTGCACAAAATTCCTGACTATAACACATCTTATGTTAAATCTGGCTATCAACCAACAAAGATTTCCTGCCTACAGCAAAACGTGGTAAAGAAAAAGAACGGCTACCAGTATGAAGATTACTCCACAGGAAAATGGAGAAAAAGAATGGCAAATCATTGCATTTCAATAATCAATTCAGCAGCAGCGCCCATGGTGTCCAGCCCACCAGTACCAAGCAAAGCTAGAGCAAGTTCCTCTTCATTCCACTGCCTCAACCCATTGCTAAGTCGCTTTAGAACATCGGGTTCCAGGTCAAGCACCCATGGAGGTGTGCAGCCCACCATCAGGCTCACGAATCCCGACACATACGACTTCCAAGTTGCACTGTCACAACCAAGAGAGATTTTGCCATCAAGGGCACTAGCCAGAAACTCCATGTGAGCCCTCAGGACTTTAGGGCGCCTCTTGGAAGCCGAATATGAGTTGTCTATCCCCCAAGCAAAAGCTCCACAGAGCACAGCGAAATATGCTAGTGCATACCCTCTCAGCATAGCAACCATCCCTCCAAGGCTGCTGCCATCTTCTTCTTCTCCCAGCTCGGAGCGATGACTAGAGATAAACCAAGAGGGCAATGTCTCTTTGAACAGTAGTTGAACCAACCCTAGCCCACCAGATAAGCAAACTAGAGAAGCTCCAAGTGAAGCCGCGAGTTTGACTCTTGTCATTGCTGCAGCAAGTGACACTTGGCCACATTCGAGTCCATTTTTGGTCCTCTTCAGCCTCCCTAATCTCTCTTTTGGAAGCCCGGTGCATGCAACTTGTGTCACGGACTGCATCATGAGAGAGATGATCTCTTCTGTGATGAACTCGATGTCTCTAATCGACTGGTAGACTCTCAAGTAGAGGATTCCTGGAGCTACTGGGGATATGCCACCAAAGAAATGAGAGCCAAAGCCATGACCAAGAAGTGCTCCGACTCCGCCATTGCTTGAGATGGATGCGCCACAGAGCGTAGCAGTAAAGCAGCTTTTTAGGAGCTGAAAAACGGCATCGTTGCTATGGAGGAAGACCGTTCGTGATGCCGAGAACACAAGAAAATCAAACCATCGCTTGGCTTTCTGGGTCCATAAGGAAGCCACAATTGGCATGCATGGCCATGGACAACCTGCTGCAAGAGATTCCAGTGCTGGACCAGCCAAATTGAGGAATCTTTCTGAGGTTTTGTCGATTTTGTAAGTGATGGTGAGGCTGGCAAAAGCTGCTAGAGGAAGAGGAAGAGTTGCTGCGGGTGAGCTTCCTCCTGTAAGGATTATCAAAACTTCAGTGCAAGTTGGCTATGAATCTTGTGAATTCCGGATGTTTTTAGTTAGTATGATAGTAATTTGATAGGTTTTGTGATGTTCATTCTGCATCCTACTACGTTAGGTGTAGTTTAAAAAACATTGTTTGATTCAATGTGTCGGAAAAGTGGAAAAAAGACAAGTGGAACTCACTTTTCCGACCCCTCAAGTAATTGAGGATTGCAATTTGCATCGATTTGGAATGTTTGAAATTGCATGTGCAGTTTCAAACGCATAATACATCAAAAGTGTCAACAAAAAACGATGTAGATAAATTGCATGTAATAGCTCGAGGGACCAAGAAACAAACCTGCAGCAAGACTAGGAATATCGACCCCAGTAGCTGCTAAGATTTTCTTGATCTTGTCTTCAACATTGGACAAATTTGCTGCAGGACTTGGCCAATCTGTCCCATTCATGGATGCCGGTTTCCAAACACCTCGACTAACTTCAGCTGAGAAGTAACTAACAATGGTTGCCAAACATGCAGGGAGAAAATCTGCCAAGTTCTTCAACCCTGAAGGTTCCAGAAACATTTCAGATAATCACCCGTCCAGATGGAAGAAGAAAATGAGCTTTTCATATTGACAGCTTTCCAACTACTATTTAGTTGTTGAACTAACCTGTGGCAAGTTCACGAGGATAAAGTCTTCCATGAGCACAAGCTGTTAAAGCAGCATCAACCACAAAAGGGACAGCTTCTAAAATTTCCCAGGCAGGTAATTTAGGTTTAAGAGAAGAATCATCATTTCCTGGTCCAGATGAACTACTACTTCCAGAGGTAATAGTAGTCACCGATTGGCTACCTCTGTTCATCTTTCTGAACATCATGGTAAGAAGGAGATTCACAGTCTGGTAAACTGGAGTTCCATCAACAAGACCAGAGAGGGCTGAAGCTATGCACTTCTGGTGTTGCCTATACCAGCACTTGAGTTTTGGAAACGAATCCAAAAATACTGGGTGTGGAGACGATGAAGTCGCAACCTCTGAAAGTCTCTGTTTGGTTTGATCGTTGAGGACAATTCCAGAAGAGGGCAGGTAGGAGTTTCTTACCAGAAGAAGATATTCAGGAGTTAGCTGGGATCCGACTGTTGGGACATCTCCAACGCCATGTTCGAGAGGAGGGTGGTTGAATCTCCATAGCTTCAAAAGGACAGCAAATGCATTTGAGAACACAGCATGGGCAGAGATTTCATCTCCAACGGGGAGCTTCCATGACACATCTGGAACACAAGATCCAAAAACCTCGCAGATTGGCAGCAACGAGCAAGCCAGCTGTGGAATCTGACGAAGCCAAAGAAAACACAAACTCAGTTGAGTTGCTTTACTAGGAATTGACATTTTTTTATACATTTGACAGAAAGGATTTCACATTGTAAGATGTACATGTAGACAATCTCTCGCCCTCTTCTTGTTCCTATAGCCCTATTCAAGTTTTAACGGTGATAATTGCAGATGGTTATTGATGGTACAAAACATGCATTACTACTTAAATTCAGTATTTTTATGCCTTTCTGCTACGGGAAGTTACCAAATGTGCCCTTCCATCCAATTTTCAGTTAGTCTTTCGTTAAGTGTGGATCTTTTGGTGACTCACTTTACATTGGAGTTGGCATGAGCTTAGCAAAGTACACATGCACAAATTGCTGGAAACCAAGGTAAGTCAAAGTGAAGAGAGAAACGAGGAATTTTGACAAAGAAAAACATACAAGTATCAACAAACACGGTAAAATAAACAATTGAAAAATGTTTAATAAAAGGCAAGAGAAAGTGTTTAAAGCATTGTACAAGGGAATCTTACCAAGCCATGTAGTGAGAAAACCTGAACACAATCAACTGGTGCTATGCCAACAATCAGTACATTCAAGACAGGAGCAATGGCTATTAAATGGCTTTCATCCCCTGAATAATCTGCAGGAACTGGGGGAGAGAGTAATCTGGTAATGAACTGAGCCGTGTGTTCCTGCATCAAATTCAGAGACAGCAACATACTTAATAAAACACGTTCACCTTCCAAATTGTGACAGAAAATAAGGACAACCAAGAAAAAAGGGGAACAATACTTGGAAAAAGAAATAGTCAGCCAGAAGAAGTCTCCTAAACCAAGAAGCGGATGCATCAGTTACCTGTATGTTCCAACCACGGAGAAGAGAAGCACCACAGAGAATTGTAGCAGCTGATATCTTCTCGTCATCTGATCCTTTAGCTGCTAGATCAAATACTTTCTCGAGCTCTGCTAAACTTCCATCAAACCCACGAGCTTAAATTCAGTTTCTTTACTCTTGGGAAATTAACAAAAAGATCATCTGATTTACCTGGCTTCAGGAAAGCAAAAGGAATAACTGAAGACCAGACAAACACCACTTAGTTTTTATTTTCAAGGATAACTAGGTTTCTGATATAGATTTAAACAATGAGGTTCTATGAGATTGGATCCCGACGCAAGAGATGTCATAACAATAAGGCTTGAGAAATTTTAAGATCCTATTGAGAGCATAAAATGCTAGCAAAGACTTCAGGAGAGGGTGTATTATACCTTGAAGCTGGTGTTGAAACCATCGCATTGATCATGATTGGAGTGAGAGGGGCACCCTTCACGAATTCAGACCAACCAGGCATCTGAGGTGGGACATTAGGTATTTGGTTAATGTGACCATTCACATACCCGGGCCAAAAATATGCTGACGTATCCAAAAGATTTCTTGCTATACAAGCCTCAACAATCAAATGGCGCATGTTCCCAGCTACAAGGAAAATGGGTACAAGTTTAATGAGCTTCCTATGACCAAATGAAACTGAGAACCTGAAAATAGGCCAAAAAAGTATACTTCTAGTGGCAAGAGAGTACAAATAACTTACAACAATTGACTGGCATCTCGTTCATGCTGAGACAATCAAGGTATGCACTCCCAACATTGATGCCTGAAACGAGTAACATAGCCTTTGCAGCAGCCTGATTGGCCAATGATACAACTGAATGAGGTGGACTCAGCAGACTGTGGTAGTCCCCCAATAACTGTATGCTGGAGACCACATCATAGCGACGGCTTCCTGGAACCTTTGAGGAGTCATTTTTTAGTTCATTGATATCCACTCTTTCCTCTTCCTCAATGAGTTCAGCAACCACAAGAGGTATAATGGATAGAAGCATGCACATACGTGTATCCAAGCGAGGGACGGGGCCTTCAATTGGATCTCTTTCCTGACAAATTAAGAATCATTTAGAGTTGAATAGCTGAGAAATGCATGAAGAAAATCTATGGATAATTATCAAACAGAATCTTTCAGCAAAGTGAACCATTGCCTCTAAATAAACCAATCAAAAGGAATAAAGTTCTCTTGGAGTTCTAACCCTCTGAACAAGACGGAGAGCAGCAATCCAAAGTCCTACAAAGGTATCATGCCATGTGGTGCCATTCATAGCTTGAAGCGATTTCACCAAACCTGAAAGATGTGAAATCAACCTTGACCATCCAATTGACAATAGTTCCTTCGTGAGAGCAGTAATCAAATTGCTCAATAGAAAGGCAACCTGGCTTACCTGTTACAATCTCGATAGAACTTGTAGCGTTAACTTGATAACCATCCATGGCATCTTCCAATGCAAGATCAAGAGGAAGCCAAAGAGATGAAATACTGCCGCCTCCATCGCACAGAACAGCAGAGGATGTCACTAGAGGAGACTCAAAACCAGTAACAGCATGGAACTTCTGCAGCAAATTCTTTTTCGGTTCTTGAGTGAGAATTGTGCACTTGTTTGCAGCCAGACGCAGAAGATCCTCACAAGTTAACACCTTTGAACTCCTTAGAGCTGATGAATTTTCTCCAAGTATCTGCAATCTCTCAATAAACCTTGGCCAATGGGTGGGCCTGAGAAAACAGCAATATGCATAAGACAACACTTATCAGGAAGGTTGAACCTTTTTACAAACACAAATCTGATATATACATACAAGTTGTGACGTGCCAGGTAAAGAATCTTCGAAGTCCTCTTGTCCTGCAGAAATCTCCCGATCAACTCAACTGCCATTACTGTATTCAAGTTATGCAACTTCTCATTGTGTTCCATTCTTATCTCATCAAAAATTTCATGACCATCAATTTCCATATCTTGAGGCTTTATTGGCCATATGGACTTTTTATCTGATGTAAGTTCGAGCAACCCTTCATCATCCAACGACGCATCTAGCAACTGACACACAACTGCATAGAGAAACTCAACCAGAAGGATCCCTGGATCATTTGCTTCTAGACCAAAAATTTCAGAAAGGTGAAGAACTCCATCGATCGATTTCATGACCCTGTACAGGCACAAAGGTTAAGAATGAAAACGTCAAACTAACAAGAACAAACTAGTCGCCATTACCATAACTAATATGATTCATTTGGCACTAAGGACTAAGGAGTAGAAAAAGAAAGATATTCCACAAAGTCTAGAATGCCATCGTTGCTTAGAAGAGGTACAACTGCCGTACAAGGAAAATTCTGTCGAACTTACTTTTCATGATTTGAGCCATTTATTTGACCCTTCAGCTCAAAGGCATGCCTTCTCAGGAGCTCCATGTATAGTCTATATGCCACCGGCTTTGAACGTCGGCATGGAATAACCCTGATGGAGGAAGAAAGAAAACACCACAAAAATTGTTCTCATTACAATCATTGCATTATGCATACACAGAAACGATCAAGTATGCATTTCCTCGAACATTTAACCTACCCTCTTGGGGGATGATATTGAAATAAGAATACTAACCCTTTTTTCTCATAACGATAAACACATCTCAACTACTTCAGTTGTAGTTTTGTGTTGACTTCGGGGAAGCAAAATTTCAATAAGTTGAATCGACAAGAGGAAACAAAATTTAACAGGAGACATGTTCAGGGAAGCAAATTGTTCATAGAGAACCCAGAGATAGCTACGTAACAGAGCACTAAATTAATGTACAAATCAGGCATAAAGATAGTGCATTTATCGCGGTGAATTCATCCAAATATGTAACAAAATATTGCTACTTTTAGCCAAAATTTGGACGAAGTGTACGTTTCTCACTTCCAACAAACTTAAACAGGCGAAAAGAACACACTCTATTAGGAAAAAGGAAGGGAACCCATAAGAACAAATCATTAGTAAAGAGGGGGGAACTCCAACCTATCGGAGAGCAGAGCGAGAATCAAGAATGGAGGGACAATCTTGAGAACCAAAGCCTTCTCGAGGAACTTCCACATAATGGGAACATTGTTGTCCCAACAAATGTAAGAAACCAATACACTCGCGAGCTCAGGGGAAGGCAAAGAGATGCCATGCGAGCTCAGATTGGACGATATTTGCAGAGCCCAGAGCAGAGGATCGCCGACCTTCGCTTGCGCCATCTGGGTTATCTCCAGAACCCCGTCCCACATGGTCAACGGGGCAGCCATTCATTCCCCGGCTAACGAGAGTCCAAAAAGCTTTTCCTTTTCTTTTGTCAGAAAGGGAAAGCTCGAAACTTTTCTCTGGTCTCTTGTGTTTGGAAAACAGAGCACCAAATCTTTCTGGGTTCCTCGCCTGTATTGACTATGAAACGAACTGCTTTCACTCGAGCTCTCTGCCGGAGGGATGATAACAAGAGCTGGGGAGGTTTTCTCAAACTGATGACTGAAGTGAAAGACAGAAGCTTTATAGGGACAAAAGGAGGAATTGCATAAGGAAATCCATTGATTTACTTAAATGGCACAGAAAAACAGTGAGAGGCACCCTAATTAGATCCATTCCCATTGGATCGATCTAACAGCAGGCTTATAGGCTTATGGGTTTCCTATGGCTTCTAGGCAACTAACTGCCAAAGAATATGGTTGAAACTTGAAGGGCAAAATGGTAAAGGTGAATGAATGAATGGATTGGCCCACTCCTAGGCCATGTCTACCAAACCAAAGCTTCTATATCGGGATTGGCCCACCAATAAATTGGGAGCTCATATAAAAATATAATTAATAAAAAACACATATTTAGGGGATTATCCTTGTGAAATGTTTTAGCTTTTCCCATGTTTGTGCTTCCAAGAGGCAATTTGTGCCTTTGTGAGAATTAGATGCATATGGTATGGTGATGGTGGGTAGGGGTAGGTGGAGATGAAGACAGCGATGGTGGCATGGCAACATCAACTCTAGTGATAATAATATTGTGATAACAAGAAAGTGGATTGGGTTTGTTAGATCTTTCAAATAACTCAATTATTTATCTCAATTCTACTTTCAAATCCTACTTTCAATTGGGTTTTGTTTGCATGGATTATATTTAGCGGACATCAAATCGATAAAATTAATAGTTTACGATATAATTATAATTTCGTCAAATACACAATTAAACTCATATAACTAGTTGATTTGATATAACTGTTTAGATGAACCGTAATGAGAGGATCATGATGGTTTTGTCAAAATCATCAAAAAAGTCATGAGATACTATCATTATATGATCGAACATGTAAGATTTTTTTTGCATATTACGTATACTCATTAGTGAATTAGGTGTTAATTAGGTAGCTTCTTATAACTCGTTTCTTAAATTATTTGCACGTGATCAAGACGATCGACGAGGGTATACATCATTTGTTGGATGTTTCTTGAGAATTTCAATTGTATTCATATTTGTCACGAGATCAACCCAACTCTTCAATTGATCGACATATATATATCATGGTCAATTTTCTAGATTTGATTTTTTTTTGTTCTACCCATTTTGTATATTCATATATTCTACATATTAGCTACCACAAGCTTTCACTTTGATTTCCTTTTGTTTGATAACCCTGATGCTATGTTTGTTTATTGACTACTGAATGATTAATCGGATTAGTGTATTATTTTGCACCTAATTTCTCAGCAACAGAAAAAAGAAGGGATACAAGAAGAGCTGGTTCCAACTCCCAACATCCAGATAGGCAAAGCTTGCATCATGCAAAGTGTAAGCAGCAAGAGATTAAGTACCATATATGAAACTCTCTCAACAACTCGAGTTATAAGAATCAATTGGTTTTTTACATGGTATCAGAGCATGTTTGGCCAAGTGATCGTATGTTCGAATCTCCGACCATAATATTAACAGTTGATTAAAACACATGGTATGACGGGTATATGCACATTTTTTAACAACTTGAGTTATTGAGATCGGTTGGTTTATTACATGGTAACAGAGTTATTGTATGGTATAATGGGCATGTTCAAATTTCAAACGCATAAATTGACTTTCATTTTGATTTATCTCCGAACAATTCAAATTATTGAAACCACTGCTGAAAATTTTCAGCTTTATCATCGAGCAAGCATCTTGCCACAGCTAGATGATACATAGTTGCGGGTTTAGGTATGGCTGAACAACGGAGTAGTGGGATGAGGGGGACATGAAAGTTGGGATCTTGTTACATAATTTATGAATTTGTGTTTGTTTTGGTTGTAATTTTCATGGTGTGGGTCCACATTTTGGCTAGTATAGTATTGGCAATTGGGTGGAAGCCCCCAATTTCTGGCCTTGGCCTCTTCCAGGCACAGCAAGCAAGTGGTGGGGATTGTTTGGCTCTTTTTTGTTCATTCATTCTCTTTTGTCCTGTTGTCATTATGCTTGCTGAATGATGATTGATGAGGTTTTTGTGGTAGGTGAGAGAGGGGGAGAGGCCACTAGTTGTAAAGAAGGTTGTTGATTTGTTCAATCTTCTGGGATTCAGTATTTTTTTTTTGTGTGTTGAATTCTTTTTTTATGTGCTACTCCATCTAATGGGTCCATGAACAACAAACCTTTTCAACCTCCTAGGAGATGGAGATGGAGATGGTGGCGGTGGTCCAAACCCATCTCACCAAACTAGCTTGTATGGCTACTCTACCTTCCACTCCTCTCGAGTCTCTACAAGACCCACCAACTTACCAACCTTTTGGGTTTGTACTTGTGGCTGGAATTCAGGTTCGATTGGACTTTAAAATTGGATAGAGTCATAGAATAATTTGGTTAAATTGTCTCAAAATGGAATAGTTTTGTTAAATTGTTTCAAAATGAAGCAATTGGGTCAAATTATCTCGTTTGGTAACACAAAATGAATTGACAGGGAGCATAAAATTATGTAGTATTTATAAAATGATACAATTTTGAAGAATTTCGGTGCATTATCTTATTTTCGAAATCTATCATCCAAACGACCCCAGATTTAGAGATGAGAATTCTCATATTGACAATAGCTATCAATGATGTCTAAGTTGTTAGATTGGCTTAATCATCTGCACGACAACAGCAGAGGGGGGGGGGGGGGGGGGAGATCTTAAGTTGGCCGGATATATGATTGTGAGGTAATTGTCAAGTGTCCTTAACACGGTAGCCGAAACAAGGGGGAAAAGGGAAAGAAAGCTAAGAAAGAGGTTGTTAAGGTCAAGGGTCAGGGTCAATTCTATTAATAACAAGCGAATAAAACTTAACGCTTTGTTTGGCAACAAGGGGTGCAAATTGCAGGGGTGCAAGTTGAGGTGCAAATTGCTAGAGGGTGCAAATTGTTGGAGGGTGCAAGTAGAGGGGTAAATTGTTGTTTGGATGAAAAAGTAGGGGGTGCAAAATGATGTAAAAAAGAGAATTCTCACCATCTATCTGATTTCATTTTCTTTCCTCATCTCTCCAAGTGGGCGTGGGCCCTTTTCTCTCTCACCATGTGTGTGGGACAACATCAAGAAGGACTAATTAAGAAATGAAAAAATAAAATATATCTCCCCACAATGTTTTACGCCCCAATTTGGGGGGCTTACCCAAACAGTAGATTTACCCCAGCCATGCACCCGCCTGCCACTGTTGTAAAAGAACCAAATGGGGGTAAATATTTCGATTTCTGTGCTTACCCCTCAATTATGCACCCCCACCATTTGCACTAGGTTCCCAAACAGAGTGTAAACGATAAATAAGAGTGTTACTTGAACCAAAACAAATGGATTCAAATGCAACTTTTGATTCGATTACAATTCTTGATTCATTTTAATTGGATTCGATTTAATTTATAATCAAATTATTACCTGCAATAATGAGATATATCGAAAACAAAAAATCGAACTTCCCGCAGTTTCCTAATGCACCTACTTTCCTGATTCCTAGTTCCCTTCTGCCACTCCCTTTGATTTTAAGATTGGAAAGTGATGGATTAAAATAAAAGAAACATATCAGGTAATATTTTACATACCTGCAGCTGCAGGTTATTGTTTGTTTAAAGAGATGCCTCACCAACTATATCAAGCGGCAAAGGCAAGCCAACATGATTTGCTGTGCGAGTTACATGTATCATCATATTCTAATCTCCTAGAAATCTTAGATAAATGAGAAACGAAAACAAAAACAATGGTTGTCTCATGTCTGACTTTGCCTCATTTCCAGAGCTGAGAAACATGACAGACATCAACCCACATGGCTCAAGACACTTATCTCATGTCCAAAATTTGAAGTCCTGGGTTCAACTAACATCGATCTAATGGCTGAAATCGCGAGCAAATGCAATCCGTTGGTGTGAGCACGTGGGAAGTTCTGATCACTATTAAGCTAAGCTCAAAAGGGTGACAATTGACAAAATAGAGAACTTGGAAGGACACATAATGATTGCATTTTACAATTATGAAAAGATAAATGATTAATTAGCCTTAGCACAGGCTAATAGCAAATTATTATATTTCATCAAAGCCCACCTCTAGTTTAATGATTAACTAAATTGATGTATTTAATCAATGTATGTATTATAATTAGATGCATTGTTTCAATGTATGAATTTGAAAAATACATTGTTTGGAGATTGAATGATTTTGGTGGTCCTTCAAAGAATAAGGAACAAAAAGTAAGACAACAATCCCTCAAACACAATCTCTACTTAAAGTTGAGATTGACAATCATTCATAATGAATGATTCTGGTGGGCCCATTTGTTGTTCAAATACAAGCATTCTGTTTCATTTTAAGCAAAAAAAACGATGAATTCTTCTGATTACATGTATTGGTTAAATACATCATCTGAAATCCCAACTTCCAAACGAGCCCTAAGATGAACTGGAAATCATTACATTAGCCTATCCACTTCATGAAAGCTCATTTCCTCTCTTAGTGTTTTAGCCACTTAACATCAAATACAACTTGGGGAAATGACTTCAATGCCCTACAGGCCTACCTAACAGAACAGAAGAAAAAAAGTCCACTCTCATTGGCCACCAGAAGCAAATGGCAAGGAAAATGAGGCTGGCCAAGTCTTGCTTCTGTGACTCCACAGCAGGTTTAGGCTTAACCCTTATCAAATTGAATAAATTAACCCAATCCATCCTTTCCCTTTTCAAATTTCAACAAAGTGACAAGTGAAATATTAAATATTCTTATTTGTACACAGCTAAATGCAATTAGCCATTCATGTAGAACCAAAAGAGAAGTCAGACAGACACCTGGACAAATGACTGGTTTATATGCTTTCTTTATTCAATTTCTATTACAGTAATGTTGATCATTTAATCGGGTATATACCATTCGGGATTTAGGCGCAGACGAGACTTTTTTAGTTAGGGTTAGTAATCGAGACAATTATTCCATATATTTTTATATTGAAAATCAAGTTTTTGAAATTGATAATGATCATTTTTTTCTTCTTTTTCTGAGTAAATTAGAGAGCTCCTTTTCTAGTTATTGGAATTCAATATTCTTGTTTGTACACAGCCAAATGCAATTAGCCATTCATGTAGAACCAAAAGAGAAATTAGACAGACACCTGGACAAATGACTGGTTTATATGCTTCTTTATTCAATTTCTAATAACCACAGATTCTCAAAGGTCAAAGATCAGCCGCTTAGTGCACATAATTAGCTGTACCAGTATCATTGCACATTGAACACAATCATAGTGAGGACTGGTGACTTAAAAGTGCATTATATTATGTATAGTATAATGCAAGAGGAACTAACAGATGGCTTAACATCATATGCCAGTTTAGAAGTGACTGTAAATATAAGTAGGGTATAGACAGAAGCCTGTAACCATGAATGGGGAGCTATACACTTGATGGCATGCAGATACTAGATTTGAGATTAAACTGTGATGTGCTTTAGATTAGAACTCCTCATCCATGTTGAAGACGAAGTTCTTCCCCGCATCTTGAAGACTTGACATGACAGATGCCTTCTGGTACTCCCCTACCCTTTTCTCGAAGAAGTTTGTTTTCCCCCTGCAAGGTCGAAGAGGAACACAGAAAAACAAGGTGAGGTAAGAAGGACAAATCTTTCAAACTTAAGTGACTCAATCGATAAGACTGAAGGCAACATGTCAAGGGAAGGAAATTGGTGCACAAAGTCTATAGTCAAGAGGCCTGATTACAAAATGTCTTTGAACTAAGATAAGAACAAAATCATGTCACATTTACCAGCTCATCCCACCATAGCATATATTTCAATATGGAAGTTGTTGAATCCCCATGTTAGAAGTAGTCCCTTAAGTAGTGTCTAAACTATAAAAAGAAAACCTATATCACCCTTAACAAAAAAAAAAAAAAAAAGTAGTAGTCAGAGACTAACACAGAAGTGGCAAACAAGTTGAACAAAAGAGGTTTGAGATTTAAGATGCATTGGGACTGAAAAATAACAAAAATATACCAATTGAAGAACTTCCCAGTTTGCAGTTGTGCAGGATATGCAGTATACTGAAAAGATGAACAAAATTATCTCAAGGAGGCGACAGGATGGGTGACATACATGCTTAGTAAGTATAAAATGGGCATAACCTATGCTAAAGGAGCAATGACTAAATAATCACATAAGATCTCTGGTCAAATGCAAGCACTTTCTGTGAAAAAAGATTGAAAACTCACTGCAAAGATATGAATTCCATCCAATCAAACGAGTTTTCCACTTTGTATTTCTTCTCGTAGCCTAGAGCAACCTGAAATAGAAGAGGGGGAGAAGACTTCGTTTATTTATTCCTCGCACTTCAAAAGTGATTGCTTAACCATTCAAAACATAGACATACCAAAAGCCGGTCAGCAACAAACTTGATGTACTGGCTCATCAGCTCGGCATTCATGCCAATCAATGCACAAGGGAGAGCATCACATACAAACTCTATTTCAATTTCTACTGAAGCATCAATGATCTGATGAACCTTTTGCCAATGAAGTTGCTTCTGTAACAAACTACAAGATTAAGGACACGCGCTTATTAGAGGAATTATGTGTTTTTTTCCATTTCAAATGGCAACTGACAGACAGAAATATGGTACCTATACAAGAGGCAAGCAAAGTCACAGTGCAGTCCCTCATCTCTGGATATCAGTTCATTTGAGAATGTCAAACCCAATACTTTTTAAGCCAAAAAATGGAACAGAAGCTGGACAGTACAAAGAATCAACAACCTCAGATTCATGCTATGATGCAAGAATGGTTGTTTTAAGCAGTCATGGCACAAAGGAGAGACAAGTACCTCCCGGAGAAGAATATTCCTTCAACGCAAGCAAAAGCAACTAGTCTCTCTGCAAACGAATCGGAACTGCAGATTAAATAAGAATAAAGAAGTATTAGAACATAGGTTTGTCCAAAGCATGAAAAAAGAAGGGGAAAAAGGGAGTAATTAATTCTTACTCGATCTAATTAATTCTTACTAGATCTTTCTACTATGACTCTACAATCGTTAGGTGCATTAATCAAACCCAAAAAGGAGATCACAGTACCTGTTGATCCAATCCAACGCCCACTTAGCCTTCCTGGCCACACAAGGAATGTTTTCTACGGCATTAAACAATCTATGTTTCTCACTTGGGTCCTTGATGTAAGTCTCCAGAAGCAAACTGTACATTTCTGAAAAATAAATGACACATGAAGTTCCATGTCAAGTTCCTATTAGTCCATGTCAGTATTCAAATCAACTAAGTGTTGAAAGAGAGCTTCACCAGAATGAATGTTCTCCATTGCAATCTGAAATCCATAAAATGCTCTAGCCTGCAAAAATTACAAAGCATGCTTATCGTACAACATTGTGAAAAAGGGAAGTGAAGTCCAGTGTAACATAGCATTATATCATATACCAAAAGATCGCGCTTTAAAAGGGAACCTTGTTTGCCTTAAACCCAAGTATCTGGCAGTTATATTAGGGAAATAGAAAGATGGAAAACTAGAACATCTAAATTTGGAAAAGGCAATTGGTGGAATGAAAGTAGAACCCAGCATTGGGGTTTTCAACAAAATAGAACCACAAGGCGAGGAAAACAGTTTAGTCCTTTAAAAAATCAAGGAACTATCCAAGCTTTTTAACTCTGGAACTTGGACATCATTAAGAAACCTTGCACCCAAGTTCTCCAACACAATACCATCAGAAGCAGCAAAAAACGCTAGCACATGACTGATAAAGTGCTTCTCTGAACCAGACAATGTTTCACAATCCCGCATGTCCTGGGAGAGATCAACCTCTTCAGTTGTAAGCCAGTTACCAACATATGAACCAAATTGATAAGTAAACGGGTGGTAATCAGAGTAAAAGTTTAGACCCAAGCAGTTACTAGCAAATTTACCCATCAAACCACTGCAAACTAGATGAAAAAGGAGAGACTTTAAACTCTCTCAAGCCAAACCATCACCCAGTTGCCAGATTTATAGCGATAAGTCTGTCTAATTGGTGCAAATGCCTTCAAAACCCCTGGTATACTGGGTAACCGACAAATTTGGTGATGGTGTAAGCTATTAGCCAAATCACAATCAATGAAATCAATCGTTCTGCCAAATGCCTTACCTAGTACAAGATAGAGAATTTATGCACTCTCATCAGACATACCATCACCATAGCCTATACATCTTGTTACTAAACCCTCATCAAATTCAACAACACGGTGATGGATAAAATTAGCGTGGCAATTGAAAACCCACAATGCATTTATTGATCAAGGTAGGTGCTTTACATCATGCTATAAACATTTGGAGTATCTTGAGAACTTGTACCAAGGAAACCCAGTGAAATAGCCCGCGGAAACTTCATGCCTGTTTCTGCCAATCCCATCCATGGCAACCAATTGAACCCACACAGCAACTTTCAACAACATTTACAGAAAATTGTTATCTCATCATGCCCACAGGTTCGGAAACACACAGGGGCAGAGAGTTTAGCAGTTGGGCGGAATTGAGAACTTACCAGTCCAAAAACTTGCGACAGCCTTCTTGTACATCTCCCAGAGTTGCTTGTACTTAATGGGGAACATGCAAAACCTCTGGTTTTGTTCTTCCAGAATGGGCTCGTCTTGTTCTTCTGCCAATTGCTTTTCTCTGCCCATTGCTTTGTCTGCCACGTTATCCAGAGAACCCATATTTCGGGTTTCAGTCTCGCTGACCTTTGTCAATGATGTTTGTGAGAGACTCTGGTCTTCGTACGAAGAAGAAGATAGGAAGGGAGGTGATGAATGGGAAGGAGAACCCCTTCAAAAACTCTGGTATACTGGGTAGCCGACAAATTTGGTGATGGTGTAGGCTATTTGCAAAATCACAATCAATGAATCAATCGCCCTGCCAATTTGCTCGGCTAACTGATTACTAAATCGCTAAATGTCGCCCTAAGAATTGCTAAACATCGCCCTAACTAAAATATAAAATTACCTATATGTCCTTAAGCAAAAACTCAAAACAAACAAGCCCTTGTAAATTCAAATTCATTCTCCCTCCCCTCCCCTCCCCCCTCAACTCCTCTCTCACCTCTGCACTCCCTCCCCCCTCAACCGCCGGCGACGCCTCCCCTCAACCGTGCCGCCGCCGACCTGCCGGCCCGGCGCCCCCTGCCGCCGCCGACCCGCCGCCCCCGTCGCCTCCCGCCGCGGCCCGGCGCCCCCTGCCGCCGCCCCCGTCGCCTCCCGCCGCCGGCCCGCCTGCCGTCGCCGCCAGCCCCCGTCGCCTCCCGTCGCCGCCAGCCCCCGTCGCCTCGCGGAGAAGAAGCTCTCGTCGCCAGCCCGTCGCCGCCAACCCTGCCTCGCCGGAGAAGAAGGTAAGGAAAAAAAAAAAAAAATTGCCCGAACCGCGGTCAACGCGCGGTCTGACCAGCGGCTGACCGCGGTCAAAGGGCGGTTGACCGATGGTCAAACCGCGCTTTGACCGATGGTCAAACCGCGCTTTGACCGCGGTTCGGGCCTTTTTATTTTTTAAATTCTGTTTTTTAAATTCTGTGTTTTATTATTCGTTAAATAAATGTTAATAATAATAAAAAAAATTAAAAAATATACATAATAAAAGAATTTAGTTATATTATTGATAAATACTAATTTAGTTATAATGATAATTAATAATAACGTATTCGATAAATGTTAATTTAGTTATAATATTAATTTAGTTATAATTTAGTTATATAATATAAAAAAATTTAAAATCGTATTCGATAATTGTTAATTAAAGATAACAAATTTAAAGAACATTATAAAAAAATTAAAAATGTGTTTTTATCATTTTAATAATCAAAATTTCAAAGTAATTCGTTTATCTACTTAATTATTAATAATTTGACCTTGATTAAAAAGTAAATAATTATTACATAGAACGTAACATAAATGTTAAAACTATTAGTTTTATAATTGTAATTATGAAAATCTTAAATTAATTACTTTATGTACTCCATTATTAATAATTCAAACTTTTTTTTGAAGATGTCTGGACATGGAATGGGTAAACCGGATATGATTAAGGCGAGAAATAAGGAGAGAATGGAAGGTCGTGCTTGTAGACTTATGGCGACTGGTAGGAAGGAAAATGAAGAAAAAAATCCACCTAAGGTTAGAAGGAAGAAGAAGGCGGATGTAGTGCGTCCTGACGGCCACCCTACTGTGGGGCAGTTGTCTCTTAGTCGAGGTACTACCAGTACTCCTACACCAGATACCGCACCGGTATGGCAGGCTAATTGGAGTGATTCCATTGACAAGGATGATGATGATGACGGTGATGCTGAGGTTGGGAATGCCCCAGATGCTGGTGCTGCTGCTGGTGATGCTGCTGTTGATGATGCTGTTGATGGTGCTGGTGATGCTGAGGCTGGGGATGCCCCACCTCAAGCTGATTTAGGCGTGGGAAAGACGGCACGGGTCGGGGTATCTTCTACTGCCTCCTCCCACTTCCGTGGGCCCGATGGACGCTATGCGTCCAGACCTAGTAGCGAGGATGGCGGAGATGGAAATAGGAAGAGGAAGACCACGAGGAAAGATATGTCGTGGTTTCTTACAGCCGAGTCTCCGATGTGTTCAGGTGGACCAGTGATTCCCGATGTGATCCTTAGCTTTGGAGGTCACATTGGCTTGGTACTGTGGAATTCCCCTGAGCAGGACCGTGGAGTGTTGGACGGCTTCCATAGGCCGAGAGCTGTAGAGACTTTGAGGCGATATAAGTGGAGTGCAGAGGGTTCCAAGGAGATGGTTGAAGCCACAGGATTGTCTCACTTGACAGGGTGCATGATGCAGCATTTAGACATGGCTCTACTGTCGGCATTTGTGGAGAGGTGGCAGCCGGACACAAACACCTTCCACATGCCGTTTGGAGAGATTTCGATCCTTCTACACGACGTGCATCACATTCTTCGGATACCGGTTGACGGACAGCTGATGGGAGATGAGGCGTCGCAGGATACTCTTAAGTCAGACATGGGTGGTCTAGTTCGACTTTCGGTGGATGCTCAGGTTGGTGGTAAGTGGAAGTCTAAGTGGTACGATAATGGTGCTATGCATGCAGAGGGATTGTTGGTGCGTGGGGGAGAGCTGAAGATTAAGGAGATGGAGGTGCAGTGTTACCTGTTTGTGTTACTGGGATCCACGCTTTTTGTGGATAAGAGTCGTGATCGCCTTCGTCCTGCGATCAACTTGTTTCTGAAGGATCATCGACGATTGGCTGATTACGCTTGGGGAGCTGGTGCACTAGCCTATCTCTACAGACAGTTGGGAGTGGCCACACGAGCGGGTAGTAAGGGTCTTTGTGGTTGTTTGACCCTGCTTCAGGCTTGGATATATGAGTACTTTCCTCTTTTCCGTCCGAGCCAGCTGCCACAGTCTCCGGATGCACCTCGTGCTTCCTCGTGGATTTCTCCCCGTTTGCCAGGTGGGGATGAGGCTAGACAGAGGTTAGTACGTTATCGACAGTTGTTGGATGAGCTTTCAGCTGATGATGTGACCTGGACTCCGTACGGACGAGATGGCAACACAGATATACCCCGCTCCTTGTATACTGGCCCCATTCGCTTTTCTGACATTGCTGAGGGATACGATCCTTCACGTTGTCTGCGCCAGTTTGGATACCGACAGATTATCCCCGCTGCTATGACGGTACCACATGACCAGTACCGTCCGGCTTCCGGCAGCAGTTACATAGTCTTTTGGGATCCGTGGGTGAATCAGTTGTGGGATAACGTGGCAGCTCGTCGTCTAGAGTTGGATTTTGCTTCTCGGCCGTGCGAGCACCCATCGGAGATTGTGGAGGAGTACGTTGACTGGTTTCTGACTAGATCGCACCCACGGATCACCCACCCCACTGATGGGGAGCCTCAGCCTCGACCACTACTAGTTCATCAGGTTAGTTATGACTTTCTTTTGCTTTTCCAAATATAAAGGACATTTGTTATTTATTCTAACATTGTTTTCTATTTTTATAGTTGAGAGAGCAGATTGTGGATCGTTTAGGTCCCGTGTTGCTGACGAGGGACCGGAGTAAGTGGGAGGAGGACGGTGGTAAGCTCTATGATATGGTAGCTGGGGTTTTCGAGTTGTACGACCAGTTGGTAGGGCAGCCGCCTCAGTAGACGATTGTGTGTTTTATTTGTCATCGTTTGTAGTTGAACTGAGACGATTGTGTGTTTTATTTGTCATCGTTTGTAGTTGAACTGAGACGATTGTGTTTTATTTGTCATTGTTTGTAGTTGAACTGAGACTATTGTGTGTTTTATTTGTCATGGTTTGTAGTTTAATTGAGACTATTGTGTGTTTTTTTACTTTAGTTACATTAAATACACTATATGTTTACCCGAAATTAGGAATATAATTTCTAACCTGTATCATTATGGATCGGCTCCGTCTCATCCTCGAAGTTGGTTTGTGCATTCACATTCGGGGCACCACCTATCTCATTTAAAAAAAATAGATTAGTTGTACACCATATTGAGGACAATTGAACACAACTAAAAGAAAAAGTTAATCTACCTGTATTTCCATCATTGTCCGGAGTTGCAGTCGGAAGTCTTGAACTTCTCCTCCCTCGTCTCCTCTCCACTTGCTCGAAGTGAGACAGGTTTCGAGTGGTGGACGTCCTTGGGCGACCGGGGGCGGGGCTGTCCCCCATGCGGTTCATCAATGCCATCATTTTCAGGATGAAGATGGCTCCGGAGTAGGCCGATTGCACCTCGAATGGTCTCGTCGCCTTTATCAAGAACCTCCTGTACTAGACCTTGGAACACACCACGGTGGTAATCACTATGGTAATCCCACTCCGGCCGAGTAGGAGGTTCACGATAGTTGATAACGGTCCAGAATGGCAACACATCATACAAGGCGAAATCCCGATTTTCACGTCGTGCTAACTGAATGGAACATCTACATGGGAGACCATAGGTAGGAGGAAACGTACATGTACAAGGTTCCCCTTCCACTGCTACCTCGAACAACATCAACCTCAGAGCTTCTAGAGTGACTTTCGTATTCAACTCTCGAAATGGTTTTCCATCCGCTCGGAGCAGCTTCTTTTGTCGGGAATCCTCTAGCAGCTTCCTGATTTGAAGGTGTTGAGCCTCAATGTAATCATCGTTCTTCTTGTATACCTACAAACAATGAAGAACAATTAGGAGACTACTAAAACTTATGTGTGTATCAATGAAGATTTATTAGATTACTAACCGTGTCGACTGCGCCAGTAGATGATTGAAGCCACTTCTTGAAGGAGGAATGAGCAGCTTCAACCCTATTAGAGCTTGTGTTACCCAAATGTCGCAGTTGATTGGTATAACATTTAGCCCACATGTGTCTAACTGTTAACCACTCAGCTGTCATATACCCCCAAAGACGTCGGTACTGTACTCCCCAACTACGTCTGAAATTCTCTAAGGCAGTATCCATGTCTTCCACTGTCAATGCATATACAGCACGTTGCCAAGACGCCATGATATGATCCACTGTCGGTTTGGCTGCATCTATACCACAATGAGTCGTCCTTCGCACCTCCGTTAGACACTTTGCTCTCACATTCCTATCCATATGCCAAAGACATAATATATGAGTCGATGATGGAAACATTACCCCCACGGTCTCAACCAATCCTCCTGCCTTGTCACTGACAAACACATCTGGAACAATGGGGCCAAGAAGATGTTGCAAATGCGTCAGAAGCCACTGGTACGACTCCTTCGTCTCGTCGTACACTATTGCAGATGCAATGACAAAGTTCAATCCCACTGGTGTCATGCCGACAATCTCAACCCAAGGCATATCATACTTATT